TTTAACATTTAAAACAGGTGGCAACCGCTTTTAAAACCCACAAAAATAGTCTGGATGCTCAAAGCTCTCAACTCGCTTTTGCTTGATACCCATGTTTTAATATTTCACATACCTAAGTAACTACTGCATATTTTAATTACTTTCAATTTTTAGATTAGGTGGCAACCCTTCTGTAAATATTTCCAAACTAAAGCCTCCTTAAACCTCTCCCGCCCGACGCCCATACTGTGATGAATATTTCACCTATATAATTTCCATAATTGAAATTGAATTTATTATTTTAAGCAGGTGGCAACCCCCTTGTATGTAATAAAAAAATACAACCTCTTCAAATCGATTTAGATTGATACCCATATTGTACTAATTAATTTATTTTTTTTAATATTTGGAATTAAATTGTTTAAAGGTGGCAACTCTTTTCGAAAAAGTAAAACCTTATAGCACTTCTACAGCCCGAGCCATTTGCCACCCCATTTTTTCAAATCGAATGAACGGTGCAGATTTGGTGACCTGGACAAAAAATCCCTTCACGTATTATATATGTACATATGTACATATATAGATAATTAACTAAGTACATACATACTTATTTTCATGCTTATACAATAAATGAAAAATTGTGTGTTATTCAGTATTACTTGAATCATGAATGAAAATTTATTCGTTATTTTAAATTACTTGAATGAAGAATAAAAATGTATTCTTTATTTGAAATTATTTGGATAATGAATAAAAATTTATTCATCATTCGCAAGTGCTTGAATGAAGAATAAAAATTTCTTCGTTATTTGAAATTACTTGAATGATGAATAAAAATTTATTCATCATTCGCAAGTACTTGGATGAAGAATAAAAATTTATTCGTTATTTGAAATTACTTGAATGATGAATAAAAATTTATTCATCATTCGCAAGTGCTTGAATGAAGAATAACAATTTATTCGTTATTTGAAATTACTTGAATGATGAATAAAAATTTATTCATCATTCGCAAGTGCTTGAATGAAGAATAAAAATTTATTCGTTATTTGAAATTACTTGAATGATGAATAAAAATTTATTTTTTATTTGAATAATAATTCATTCAAAAACGCCCATCCCTGGTTTAGATAATCGCCACTTATTAATTTTTCGTTGGTTAATGCGCACTCTAATGGACCATCGGAATAATTTCAGGTTTCGCCCTTGTCCTTTGGAATAATTTCTAGATCTTGTCTGGAAGGCGACTTTAGTTCACTCGATTAGATATTTTTTTCTTGTCATTTAGACTGCTGCAGTCAGTATTAGTTGCTGTACTTGAATTTGGCTGCTACTTATTAGAGCAAGTGGTACCGAATAGATCACAGTCTAACTATCTTTCGTATATGTACTTACATATGTTGCTTATAAAACTAAGCTAATTGTTTTGGTACAATCCTGTCTATCAAATAAAGTTATGAAATATTGCATACAAAAGTTGTACCTTTTTTGTTCTTAAATTTTGAGTAAAGATGTATGTATGTACATATGTATAAATCATCTGGTGTACGAGTTTCGCTTCAAGTACTACATATGTATGTATTATACTTACATACATGTTTTATAGCAATCGTACATCCTGTTCATCATTAACAGGTCTATTCTGCACGTTACCGAAGATTTTGTAACCGGAAAATTTTATTACCAAAAAATGCTACCAGTTCTTGTCACCGCGATTCTAGGTTCGTTGGTAATGCAGTTAAAATATTCAGCGATAATAGTTAGGTAATGCAGTTAAATAATTCAGCTATGAAGAATTGTGCAGATTCTGGCATTGCATTTTTCACAGGGCAATACTTTGTTACCAGCTTATGAGATGGTAACAAAATTTACCGGTTAAAAGAGTACAGAGAATGCGAAGAGGGTTTAAAAATTTACAGCAACTTTATTTACCGGTTACAAACTTTTTATTACCAGTGCAGAATAGACCTGTTAGCGTGATTGAAAATTGCACATATGAATATTTACTAATTGTCGATTTTACTTACAAGCATTGCTTTCCATTTGTTTATAATCCTCAGGTTGGTTTATTCATCGACATGTTCATTCAACTACTCACTAATTGGTTAATTTATTCAACTTTCTTTTGTAGTTGAACGTTCGTTTCCTTCAACTACAGCATGAAATTTGAAATTAAAAACAAAATAACAAACCGTAAAGTAATAAATGGAGAATAAAATTAAACAGCAGCCATCTGGTACTATATCAAGTGCCCAAAGTAAATATGTTATATGTATATATGTACATGCATGTATATACATACTTTTGTATATGTATGTACAAACCCACAATTAAGAAAGTATTAAAACAAATAATTTTGTCTTTATTCGTGTTTTTTTACACTAGGTACCTACAGTTTTTGTATTTTTTTGTATTTCGTGTTTTACTTTTATATTCTTGATAACATTAATTACCGTTATAATAAGCCATTCATGCATACCATACTGGTGTATATTCTGCGTATGTTTGTATGAATGGAAAATAATTTGTTACTGTGAGTTAAGAATTGGTTAACATTTCTAATAATTTGTCGTTTTTTCTGTCTATGCATATGTTTTTATTGTCTGGTTTTACTTTGTTTGTATTAATTTTTAGAAAAATAAAATATTCAATATCACTTGCTTATTGGAAAGACGGGACTTTTGTTTTATTAGCATTGTGAGAAAAAAAATTGCTTCAAAAAGGCAAAAAATTAAACTGTGTATATGTATACTTTATTTCATTTCTGTAGACCATTTTTATTTTATATCAGTAAAGTTTTAGAGGAGTTTATTAGAAAAATTGTTATGCCATTTAATTCTTGTAAAAAATACCAAAATAATTTTTTGAATTTACCCACATATTTTGTAGACACAAAACCCATGAAATTGAAATTAATTAATTATCTATAACAAAAAAGGTCAGGTAAACAATTTGGCACAGAATTAGTGTTATGACCATAGTGGATAGAAATATGCATGAAAAAGAGAAAAAATGCGCTCTAAAAAGTCCTCTTAGGCCAATTCATCTAATCGCGTAAATGCCTCGTAACCATATAAACCTCGTAAACTTACTTAATTTTGTATGGAAACCCGGTTTATTTACGAGATTTACGCGGTTGCGAGGTATTTACACATTTAGATGAATGCCTAACGTTCGTATCTATATTTTTTTTGCAGTATAATATATATATATTTTGATTCCAAAAAAGAATAGATACTACGGTTTTTCCAAAATACTGCATTTATACGAAAAAAAAATTTTTTTGTTCCAGAAATTTTTAATGCACATTTACCAGCCATTGAAACAAAACGATATATGCTAACAGAGAATTGTGAGTGGATACACGTTATAAAAATGCATATGTGTAGATATCACGGTACCCTGGAAACAATTTCAACCCTCAAGTTGCTTCCCTTCGCCG